GGGTGCTTTTAAAAGACCAGCCAGGCCAGACTCTTGAGCCAAACATTACAGAACCACTAGGGGAGGACCTACAAATTCGCATGTCAATGAAAGAGCCACGAAAATAAGCGCCTACAGAGAGAGACCCCACTAGAGGGCGAGTTCATTGACCCCACTTAAACCCAGTTTATGTATCCAATACTTTAGAGAGTTCTGGGCAATGTGCTAGACTTGCTTAATGTTAGTGACTGTTTACTTGACTGTTCTGTTGGGTTATACATTATTTAAATCAAATAAACGGATCAAGTGATCTTTCACCTGCCTTCATTAATTTCGAAAAATCTAAAATTTTCTAAACCCAAATTTGAGCTGAAGGTTGAAATTTTCTGTGTGGATCACAAAACACGTAGGTAATACCACATTCTTCTGAAGCTCCCCGGTCACGTTACATTGATCAAATTTCAGAGCAATCAAGAGGGCTTCGACTTTTTCCGAAAAACTTGCTCAAAGCATCGCGTGAAGGACCTAAAGCAGCTTTGTAGAGCACAGAAAGCCCTCCCCAATAGGCCTGATTTTGTTCCCACTGAAAACGATCGAATTAAAAAGCAGGCAGAATTGCACACTACGCACTATGACATTACTCGTACATGAACATATCGTAGAGATCGCCTGAAGGCTGCAGTAATAATGGCTGAAGAGCAGCGTATCCTGCCCTCATTGATAGTCATCGGGTAAAAGGCCGTAAAGAGGCAATCTCAAACACACCCCCGGCGTGCTGACACGTCTAGTCCACCAACGTCATCGAAATCGCGTCGCCATCCAATCATCGTAATTTCTGCCTTTAAGATCAGCAGGACGCTTTTCATACAGTCTGCATTCCCAATGCGCAATTTCGAAATCTACTTCTTCATGGTGGATTGCTTTTCAAAACCTCCTTTTGTATCGAATAACCGTTTTTCGACTGCTGTCACTTGAGTAAGGGTAAAGGTGATGCGTATTAGACTGGCATTCTCTCAGCCTCCATCGAGAAACTGATGAAGGGAGTGCTGTAGTCATCTGACACACTGACAACAACCCGTTGTCCGTGTTCCTCGACATTTTTTTATAGTTATTCAAAATCAGCACTACACTTCCAATAAGATCCGATGATGAAGATGAACAACTCCTCGTACTGAAAAGCCAAGTAATTTGATCAAAACGATGCCTATCTGCGCGTAAAGACTATGGCGTTCGCGTCCTGCTGTCGTCAGTGTGTTGGACCAACAAAAGCTGTCCTCGTCGCTCCAGGAGGCTTCAAATTTCGAGTCATGCAATCCCAGCATGTTCAGTAATTTTATGCATTAAGCTGGCACAAATACCGTATGTCCCTGGTTCTGGATCAGATGTAGCGCTCTTGGTGATGATCGACTTTACAAAATCAAGTGAAAAGCTATTCAACGCGGTACGTTAGTTTCCTTTATATTTTATAATCGTAACAAGTATCTTTCCATGTTTTAGGAGTATCAGGGCGAGGCAAAGGCTCGTAGAAGTTTCATTAGACTTCGGAATCTCCAACCCTTCTAGATATTCTTGAAAAGACCATTACGGAGGCTTCCATAGTAGGAGATGATAGAAGGCCTACGAAGGGTCATTATGGTGGTTATAGAAACACTCATATATGCGTGTGATTCAACGGTGAATTCAGTTGCTGAACCATCTGCGAGCCACGAAATCCTGAAAAGCCTCAGAAAACGGTCGCCTAACATCATAGCAGTCTGACACCGTAAGGTGGTCTCGGGTTAGGAACCACGTCATTTGCATGACTCGCGCGAAGCATCAGTGTCGCCAGTGTATACCAATCTTTGCTTTGGCGCCCTCACAGGAAGAAGCTTCCTAATTCGTCAATATTGGAGACGGTAGCCTGTGTGATGTTCCTGGTCCAGATTAATACAACTTGTTACTGTGGGTACGACACGGTTGTGTATTTGGTGTGAAGTGAGAACCCAATTTGTCAAATTCCGTTGCGTACCCACATCGCACTCCGCACACCAAGCTTGAAAGAAAGAACTGGAAGTCCGGTGTTTGACGTCATGTCACTCTATGGTTAGCGTAAAGTCTGTCACGAGGTACGATTCTCACTGATATCTAACCTAAGCGATGAGATTCAGGACACACATATAAGGAACCAATACGGCCCAGTGCAGAGGGTCACTGACAGAAACACGTAATAGAACGATTGGAAAAGATACTCTCCATCGAAGACCGTGATTTGGAGCGGTTGATAGGTGAAGCTGTCCCAGATTATAACGAAACTTTAGAAGAGAAAAGCTGCTTTAAGAACTCTTGTCCAACACTGCCTCCGTCATGAAAGCATTAGCAGAGCATGCTTTGCAGTCCATAATGTACATACACACCATCGAGAAGAGCTTCCTATTCCTCGAATATCCCGATTTACATTTGCTGGGCATTATTGGCGCAAGAGTGTGCGCCGCTATAGCTCTTCTTAGTACCACAGGTGCTTCATAGAGATTGAGTGGAGGAAACGGACAAGCTCTACCATTCGCCAAAAGAGCGTAGCGCTCCAAGGGTTTTCCATCTAAGCCGCTTGATGCGCTCGCACATTTCCCATGCTAGAGAAAGTGGAATCAAACGCATCACTGTAAAGATTAACATAAGAATGACGTACAGCGTCACAACAACGTTGATCAGAATTGCATTCCGCGATCACAAGTGGGGAGGTCGGTATGCCACTCATCTTTATGCCTCGCCACTCCATATCAAATGGACTCCAAAACAACCATGTTCAACGATGGTCCTGGGTGCAAATGTTCGTATTTTCGCCACATGTGGCTGTGTCCAGAATCACTACCCACACTCGATTTGCTCTAAACAGGGAAAGCACGCATCCCTCAAATTGGGTCCGTATTCCATTATCTCGTACCTAGCAAATGTACCTGTCGATGCGCGGGTTTCAAAGGAACACCAGGTACTGGTGGACGGACAAAAAGGGTATTCATATGCGGTCACTGTGCCACTGTTTGAGCTAAGATTACATGCCTTATAATCCTGATAAATGTTCCAGCACCTGCAGCCTGTGACTGACAGGTCCCATGCTTGCCTGTTGCGAAACGAAGCAAGCACCTGTGAACCACCAACTCCTCCACGGACAGCCAGTAGCCTGTGGTTCATATCGCTCCCCATGCGCATCAAAGCTGTGAGCAATACCAAGTTCATGGACCTAACTTGCAACACATCCTCCTTGTTCTAATTTCCCGACTATTCTTCCTAGCGTGAAATCAGCCTACTGTTGTCTCTAATACGTGCTGTGATCACAAACACCTCTACCCCCTTGTCACTACACTCCTTGTCCTGTTTAGCAACCCGTATGTTCTGCGCCCTCAGGCCTTCCGGTTTTGATTTAGATTTGACCGGTCATATGGATTAGTGAAATACAGGCCCACTTTGTGCCATTTTATGCGTTCCGTCATTGGAGCTGTTGCACCCAGTGTTGGGCAGACGGGTCTCCGATGTCCCTTTCGTTCCACCACACTCTTAACAAAGTGTGGAGCTTAGAGGTTGCCGGGTTTTGCTGTTCAGAATCCCAAATTATTTGAATCTATGTAGGTTAACTGTTCCTGTAGATTTGTTAGCCTAATGAAATAACTTTGTAGAAAACCACTCGATGTCATACCAGTATTGTAGCTAATAGGTGTGAAAGCATTTGAGATACGAACTGCATGTTTCCTAATCTTCACGACTTTACGGAGATGTCTAGCATCTTATCATATCGAATACTCTTTGAAAAATAACTGCTAGTTTGTCCTGATCCAATCTCGTGGCGTTGGGTAGAGCGGTAAGGGTGGCACTCGGAGGGTAGTTGAGTGTGCCATCTTCAAATAAAAAGAACCCATCACCGAAATAGAGTGAATCACAGGTGCACCGTGTGGATTACGACAGCGCGTCCCACCCTACCAGCTGGTTGACTTTCCTATGATGTTGCTTGGTGTTTGCGCCGGTAGTGATGAAGAAGCCTCTCAAATAGGTTCGGGAAAATGGGTGTAATAGCCCCGAAAGACAGCGTGTAAATGGCGCTAACTAGTTCTCATGTAGGATAACGTCGATGCTACTTCCAAAACATGATTTACGCCTTCAACATTTTTCTTGGAATTTAATAACAATAAAGTGAATCACTAATTGTGAGACAACCTAACAGATATAGAAATATTATTTCAATAACCTTGGTGTGTATGTGGCCCCAGAAGTCTACTAATACTGATAACAAACAAAGTGCTTTGAGTTCGGTTTCTTCACAAAAAATGGGAAAGATTCCATCAATCAAACAGATTCCCAGATATCAGCGTAAAACTACAGCCCTGACTGACTGCTATTCAGTATCATCGTATTGTGACAGCGGTGCCGACCTCCGAGCATCCGCCCCGTAGACAAGCCCATGCTGACATATAAACAACGAACTATACAGGGGGGGGCCAAAAAAAAAGACATTTTGCCTATGTCGGACTTCGGCTCTTTTTTCTTCGCAGAGATTGCTGTCGTTGACGGGAGTTCCTCAGCAGAGTATTCCCTAAGTGTTCCTCTATTAGTGTACGCAGGCTCTCCTTCACTGCCCTCACCGTCTTCAGAATATGACGTCATCTGTCACCGTCGTCAGGCTCAAGGAGGTCTACCCAATCTTTCACCGTCGTCAGGCTCAAGGAGGTCTACCGTAAGAGCTTCAGCCTGAAGCTCTTACGCAATTTCGTGAATCGATTTAATGTTGGATAGTTTTCTAGAGGCATTAGCTACCACTGTGCAAATCCCCTCGGAACTAGCTTTCCAGTAAGGGTCGTTATGGTACACGATCCTTCGAAGACCCCATTGAGATCGACCAGTGCACCATGTTTCCAGGGCAAGATTTTCTATATAGAATGGAATGCACTCTTTAATAATAAGTTGGAACCGTTCGGTCTGAGTTGAGTAAAATGTGCTTAAATCCATCTGGAAGTGGAGGCAAAATGTCTTTTTTTTTTTTGCCCCCCCTGTATATGAAAGACCAAAGAATTGCGGGAACGGTATACATATGGAAAAAATTATGAATTGAAACTTCTGAAGTTTTTTATGAATATTAAACAGTTCAGGTAATTGACTATGTGGTCAATATTTCTGAATATGTGTCAAAGGCGAAAATCGGAATTGTAATGATCAGTTGCCCTTCAAAGACACTCCTTGATATGGGAATCTACTCTGGACCAGAAATACGGTAATATCTAGCTTTATGTCGCTTTCATCTGCTGAGAGTTCATCTCTCATTAGTCAATATAACAAGTTGGCTTCAGCAACTTAAATGATGTATTATCCTCACTAATTTCACCGTTGTCTTTGACTAGGAGTAGTTTTTTTTTTCAGAAGTAAAGTAATTGCACCCACTGAACCGTTGAAGGAGAAAGGAACAGCTCAAGCTCTCGAGTTGGGTAAAAAGATTCTTGAAGTGAGTGTTTCAATACAAATTCTTGGTCAGATATGAAACTGAGATTTGCATCGGCTAAAGTCGCGACCACTGCATTGGCTGGTGCACACATAATCGTCATTAGAGTTTCAATGGTAGCTGAATACGTAAGATCTCTGAGTTTGATCAACGCGGAGTACGTTAATCTTATCAGTACCTTGCATTCTGCGAGTAATTTGCAAGTACTCCCGGCTTTATTTGCAATTTTGAAGAGAAAATTGGAAAACAGCCTCAAGAAAAAGTTGTTATGCCGCACCCTCCTTAGAGAGTTTATCGGTTCGCCTTGTCTTGTGTCGGGTTTCTCAATCTTGAGGGCTACACTGCTGGCACCATCGGATCGTTTTTAAAGGAAAATTATGAATATTCAATATCGCCATTCAATATTCTTTTGATCTGTGCAATTTCAAACCTGAGACGGGACTGCGAGACTACGATGAATTTCCTAGCCAAACTTTGACATGGATGAGAGGCGCTTCTGTGTGATCGTCAGAAGGAGTCATGTTTGATGGATATGGGAATTAAATTCTAGAGCACAGGGCGACCGAACAAAAGGAAATCTCTTTGAGAAGTCCGGGGCGGTCATTAAAGAGTCGCGAGAAAGAAATTTTTAAAATGCTGCGATTCCGCTCTGTCAGCAGCTATAGTGTAACGGAATGTTTTCATCCCTATCCCCATGGTAGAAAACTCGGAATTGAAAGCTATATTTGAGGTGCTACTAGATATAGCGAAATGATAGGCTAACTATGAGAACCTTGAATGGAGATTCTATGTAGATTTCCTCTAACAAGGTTGGTTACTGATGATTCCTAATTGTAACGTAAGAACGGCATAGTTTACCTATCATAGAAAGCCTGTACCCTTGATTATGAGCGACCCTACCTCGTAACTTTATGCTGCTAGGTCTTACAGCTGCTAACTTGGGGCCCTTTACATAATCTCGCATGAGCTTCGTCGCTTGCCTTATCGTGGTGTCGGCTTTCCATGAAGATAATAACGCATAGTGAAAATTATTTGTGGGGGGGGGCGCACCGCTTGAAGGAGGTACTATCGTAGCTGATGTGGCGAGACTGTGAAAGACTGGGTGAGATCAGTTGAAACAGAAAAAAGTTGTTTCTCAGAACTAAAAGGAGATTGACGTTGTTTTCAGAGCGAAACCAGAGAACACAAGATGATCCTCATAATGTCAGATGGTGGGAACTCAACGTGTCTCAAGGATAAACCGAACGAAGACGAAATCAGTCTTGCAGAATTAGTAAGATTTTGAAAATTGAGTTTTGCTCTTGTTCTTGACCCTTTCCCCGATCACTCGCTAACTGGTACTAGTTTCCATGTAAGAAGGCTTCTGCTTCAAACAAATTTCCACAAATTCACTTGACTACAAATCCTTTGAAGATCAACCTAGTACTTATTCATGAGCAGATAGTAGACTATTAAAGAGAAATAAATTCACACTATGACGTTATTGCAGCTACGCAATCTGGGCATAAAGATTGTCTACTCTATCGTTGGAGACAATCCTAACAAAGATAACATTGACAGAATCACCGGAGATCCCAAGCTCGTTATCACTCTGGGTGATTTGGTTGTAAGTTTCAAGATTATATTCTTCTAGTTTGAATGCAAAGAATAGTCTTCTCATATATGAACAGAGTCAGAACGTCGTTTCAGCTGCGCTATGTAAGTAATGCGCATATACGAATGTATACTACAGGGGGGCCAAAAAAAAGACATTTTGCCTATGTCGGACTTCGGCTTTTTTCTTCGCAGAGATTGCTGTCGTTGACGGGAGTTCCTCAGCAGAGTATTCCCTAAGTGTTCCTCTATTAGTGTACGCAGGCTCTCCTTCACTGCCCTCACCGTCTTCAGAATATGACGTCATCTGTCACCGTCGTCAGGCTCAAGGAGGTCTACCGTAAGAGCTTCAGCCTGAAGCTCTTACGCAATTTCGTGAATCGATTTAATGTTGGATAGTTTTCTAGAGGCATTAGCTACCACTGTGCAAATCCCCTCGGAACTAGCTTTCCAGTAAGGGTCGTTATGGTACACGATCCTTCGAAGACCCCATTGAGATCGACCAGTGCACCATGTTTCCAGGGCTAATTCTTCTGATGCCGTCCACGTACGTGGCCACTATGAAGATTTTCTTATAGAATGGAATGCACTCTTTAATAATAAGTTGGAACCGTTCGGTCTGAGTTGAGTAAAATGTGCTTAAATCCATCTGGAAGGAGGCAAAATGTCTTTTTTTTTGGCCCCCCCTGTATAAGAGGCTCGGCAGTGTGTACGTGTCAGAGTTGTATGCTCAACCGTGACGCAAGTGGTCAATTCGTCTCACGCACGCGGTCTGCGGATGAATCCTGGATTCGACTGTCCGAAGCGTCGTCAGGCAAACCAAGCCTTCAATCTCGCCTGGGTAGGTGCTGATCGTTGCCAGACTATACTGGTGGTGCGAAGAAAACACATGCTTTTACATTGCTGGGCTTCCGCAAGTCACTTGTATAGGCATCGCATCAGACATCACTACAAATGCCAAACTAGAATATTTAGATATGCAGCTCCCCAGAAGGATTGGATCCAATCAAATGCTCTCGGCTTATGACCTATAGCAAAAAGAAAACATGCACCCATAGCACTTTGCAGCAACAAAGACATGATGACTTTGAAATGGGCAACATCGATTGCGCTCTAACAACACTGCCTAATCTCTTCCTATAGTGAGCGGAGGGCATCGACGGAATCCAAACGAGCCTATCAATATAGGAGCTGCAGTTTTGGGCAGCAATCGCGATTGATATTGATGCAGCAAAAAAAGGCAGATGGCATGAAAAGTTGACCGATGGAATTGAATGCTGGTAAAGGATGCAACATTGAAGAAAAAGCTGAAGAAAGCGGCCTAAGGCCTGCAAAGCGAAACCCTCGTCTTTCCCGTCGCTGACTCCCGCTCTGGAAAAGACACCTCGGTTGCTTCACATATATGACGGCAGCACCGACGTGTCTCGTCTAGAGCGGAAATCTGTTCCGCCTTTCTGCAAGATGGTTAGAATTCGATGAGAGGGCATAAAGAGGAGACGTTGAAGGGGGTGTCAAGCCGATAGGGACAAGCTTCTTTCCACAAGGCGCTACTTTTCGCTTGAAGCCACAGATTTTCTTTACACAGAGTAGACACATTTGCCCTTCTTCAACACAAAATTTGTCATGTCTTCTGTCTTTGAAGTGGAGATGCCGAACAGGTGGACAGAAAAGCAAAGAGAGAGCGATCATCTCCTAGCTGATATCGAACTTTGAAGGCGTATTACGTGTCGTACTTTCGAGTTTGTAGGAGGGGGGTGTAATCATTTTAGTCCTCGTAAATTAGTGTGGGATGAGGGGAAAAATAGATTTCTACGGTAGTAGCTTGGTGCGAGTGGAAGCGCGCAGAATAAAAATTGCGTTTTAGCTGCGAATACCCTAGAAAAGACACGCAGTAGTTGGGAGTGTAGTTAAAAAATGGGTTGAAATGGGAAATAGAAGAGAAATTTTCGGATATTTACCGTTTCAGAGTGACTATATACTCCCCCGCTCGACGGCATTTTTGGAGGAAAAAGTGGGCGGGGTTTTGATGGAAGATGGAGATGGTGGAGGGGGAAAAGGGGGTCGTATCAAATCCACCGTTGGGGGAGGGGGGTCGTAAAAATTTTTCGAAAAGTAGCAACGATAGGACAGACCCTGCCTATAGCCGCTCTGTGAGAAACTTTTGATACGCTCAATGAATGCTAACTAATACTGTGGTTGTCAACAACCCCAGCGTCCAAACGTCGGATCATTCGGTTGGTCGAGATAATGATGAGCTAATGAATCTTTTTTAATGTGGCATACGGTAGTCGTTGTCGTATTTCTTCAAAAATCCACCTCACACCCTTGAAGGGATCCTTCGGAAAATTCCTGCTTCGTTTCTTGACGTGAACGTGTCAGCTGTGATCAAGCAGCACACAAAGTTTCATGCATGAAGATCGTGGCCCAAGAGAAACAACGTACAAAAACTACACATGTACATTTCGAACTTAACACATTGACGACAACGCGGGGGATATATATCCCGCGCATTGCAGGCCATGTCGGACCGTGCGGGATATATATCCCCCGCACCCATTACACTCATTTTTTTCGCGCACGCCTGATTCTTTTAGAAGTTTCTTGTATTCATTCCATGGAAGAGACCTTGACGTAGCTACAAACATAGTGGCCCATAGAATGGTCACGTATGCTTTAATTTAGAGGAGGATTTCTGAACCATACGAAATCTTCATTTCAATAAATTTTTCGTTTACTTTTCTTTTTATTAATGTGAAGATTTAAATAGTAGTAGAAGTAGATAAGGAACCTTAGGGATGACAATATGTGTGTTTTGATTGGAATAATCAACGTAAAATTGCTTTTGAGGTCCATTGCAGCTAGTTCTGACCAATTTCGCTTTTTCATTGTTACTCCATGTCTTTCGATCGAAATTTCCACTACTGTACCCTGGGTAGGTTGTGCTCATTACAATTTACTGATCTGGTTTTGTATTGATCATTATTATGTATTTATCACTCAAAATCTGCTTGAACGACCTGAGGCGGCCGCGCCCGCAAAATCGCCCCGGTCCCACGTGGCCAAAAAAGCCAAAACTCGCGTTGTCGTCCGCTCGACGGCATTTTTGGAGGAAAAAGTGGGCGGGGTTTTGATGGAAGATGGAGATGGTGGAGGTATGGAAAAGGGGGTCGTATCAAATCCACGTTGGGGGTAGGCCGCCCATTTGCTGAAACCATTCGACACGCTCAATGGAATGCTGAACTAAACTGGTGCTTGTCAACAACCCCCATGCGTCCAATGTCGGGATCATTCGGTGGTCGAATAATGATTGATGCTAATGAATCTAATGGTGATACCCGGTAGTCATTGTCGTATTTCTTCAAAAATCCACCTTACACTTAAAGGAATCCTTCGGAAAATTCTTGCATTCTTTCTTGACATGAATGTGTCAGTTGTGATCACTGGAAACAGCACACAAAGTTTCACGCATGAAGATTCGGTTTCCGAAGAGAAACAAACGTACAAAAACTACACTTATGGACAATCGAAGGTAATTCGGGCGGAGCCAAAGGCGAGGCATGGAAAGAAGTTGGCCTTTGGCCGGCTACGTATCAGGCGACGCAATGAAGAATCGGGTTAAAGCGCGCGATTTCGGAGAGTAGAGACAAATCGATCGATAGAATAGGATGGAGTAGAAGTGTAAGATGTGAATGCAATAAAGCAGAAGGCCAGAAAGAGTTTCTAGTGAAGGCACTCCAAGAACCAAGTGGAAGCATCCCCGTCGCCAGCATTTGTGAAAGACGTCCGTGGGCACTTTGAACGCGTAGCAGCCCTTTCGATTTTTCGAATTTTTTACCAAAACAAAAGCAATATTTCTGTTCTTTTCATTCTTATCGTGGATAATGAGTCTCAAGCCAGTGATTTATGGCTGAAATAGAATCATGATTTTTCCGTGAAGGATTCCTTTAAGAATTCTGGCAGAGTAGCGTTCGAAGGAGTTTGCTGCTGATCATGATCACCCGAATAAAATGTTATGTGTTTTATCTACGATCTGGTTCTCCTTGAGCTCTATGCTCTTGCGCTGATCGTCCTTATTGCTTTATCTACTGTAATCACTTATTGGAAATACAGCGCTTTATCGCGTTAGCGAAGCGCGCTATGAACTTGGTGACACACATGTACACTCAAAACAGACAGACTTAGCGTTTTATATATAGTAGGGATAGGAATAATCTGTGTTATATTATGTACATCTCTTTAGTTGATTATCTAGAAAGTTTCCAATGAGAAAAATCGGGCGGACCACACATGTACAGGGGGCCAAAAAAAGACATTTTGCCCAGGTCGCACTTCGGCCTTTTTTCTTCGCAGAGATTGCCGTCGTTGACGGAAGTTCCTCAGCAAAATATTCCTAAATGTCCCTCTATAAGTACACGCAGGCCCTCCTTCACTACCCTCACCGTCTTCAGAATATGACGTCATCTGTCACCGTCGTCGAGCTCAGGGAGGCCTACAGTAACTGCTTCAGCCTGAAGCTCTTACATAATTTCTTGGATCGATTCAACGTGGGATAGTTTCCTAGGGACATTAGCTCTAACTATGCAAACCCCCTCGGAACCCGCCCTTCGGAACCCGTCGTAACGGTACACGATCAGTCGAGAACCCCATTGAGCTCGACCAGAGCACCATGTTTCCGGGGCAAATTTTTCTGATGCCGTCCACGTAGATGGCCACTATGAAGATTTTCTTATGAAATGAAATGCGCTCTTCAATTCTAATGGGAGCAC